CGTCTATTTACTTCTGGGAATATAGGTGTCTGTATTACAGCATATAGAGTCTATATGTATTCTGGGGATCCAAACTTCGTCTCCTTCTTGCAGAGTAAGCACTGGGAATTATTGACCTGTCGCCAGTCCCTACCTTCCCCCATTAAATTTGCTTAAAAACAAACAAAAAAAACTTAATTAATTTCTGTATGTCTTTTTGTTTGCCATTTATTTATTTATTTCAAACTTATATTATCAGTGAAGTTTCAATTCAAATGATCTCTCAACTGCATTAGGCCTATTTCATTCTGATTTCAACATGGCTTTCTTGAACCTTCCTATTCTAAACTGTTTTGGTAGAAGGTAAAAAACCCAACCTCCCAGCTAAAAAACCCAACCTAACCCAGCTTGCTGCCTACTTACACAATATCCTTTGTTTACCTTGTCACTGTGTATAGTGTATACCCACATATAGAGACACTTTGAAGTTTGAACCTGCAAAGAGCACATTTGCCCTAATGTGTGCGTTCGTGTGTGTGTGTGTGTGTGTGTGTGTGTAAAAATGTTGTGGAGAGATATGTGTTTGTATCCCATAGACACATAGATTTTACCTAACAAATATATATGACAAGTTAGCTCATTAATAAAATTTAAAAAATTAAAACAAGGAAGGCAAACTCTGACCTTCTTTTACAAAAAAAATCTAAGGTTGCCTTAGTAGAAATATTCGGTATCCATCGTTGTATATGAAAAAGGTAATATTGATGATAATACTGACTACAGAAATGTTCTAATATATTGTACAATATAAACTGGGAACACATAAATGGCTCTGAACAAATAATCATTACCTGTTCTTCCTATGTAGATGGTCAGAACTTAGCAGGCTTAGAGACCACTGAAGATGGTGTCTCCTTCATGGTCAACTGTGGGCTCACCCTCCTATGTCTACGATTAAGGAAGAAAACCTATCATAACTGCCCCTACCTAAGACTTAAAGTACCACATGAAAGAGGAAGCAGATGCTGAAGTCCATCAAGGAAGGGTATCTCCTTTCGGGAAAAGTGGCTCTTTTACAGATGTATTCATTTAATTTTAGGCGTATTTTTATATTTATGCGTATGTATATGTGTGGGGGTGCATAAATGTGCACTACATGTACACAGCTGCATAAAGTGACTGGAAGAAAGCATGAGCAATGTTACTGAGAGGTGTGAGCAGTGTGATACGGGTTCTGGGGACAGAACCGAGGGCCTCTGCAAGCTCAGCAAGGACTCTTATGCGGATCGATGCCTCCAGCTCTCTACTTACTATTTTTTAATGTAGTCAGTTGCGTGACTTTTTTAAAAAAGAAATATGACCACACACCCTCCCTGGCTCTGGGTAGATAGGAGACATTCCAACCTGCCTCAGGGATTATACGATCACAATGATATACTATCCCAAATGAGCCTGTCAGTCACCTTGACAGGTAAATACTGCTCAGGAAAGTTGTCTATTACAGTCACTTCAAGAAATATGATACACCTGAACACAGGCTAAAAGGTGGAAAGGTCTGTCTTTCCCAAGAGATGAACACGTGCCCCACAATCTACTCCGTGGACTTAGTGGCTTGCAAATCCTCCCTGCAATGCCTGGGCACTTTCCGAGTAAAGAGGTCTAACTTCTTGCTTCCTGTGCTAGTGGCCAATATTCTAATCTCCTTTGCCTGACATTTCAGCATCCTCAATCTTTCTGCATACACACCCCTCCCATGCAGCTGCATTCGGACTGAATGAGCCTGACTGCATCCTTGATCTCTGTTTCTGAAGGCAAGCCCTTTTCTCTCTCTGACTCATCACTCTGCTCCCACATGCTGCTGAGGCCTGCAGTTCACCTGGCCTCTTGTTCTTTTCTTGCAAATTCCAAATTGTCCTTAGGTTACTTAGTCTACTTTCAAATATGAGACTGTGGACCAGCAAGAGTCCCTGTTCCTAGTTACACTCTGACACTTTAAAATATAAATGGATTAGACACCTAAAGTAACTCTTATATTAATCAATGCACCTTTAAAAATATTCTTAAAAATATGCCTATATGGAATCAAAGCACTGTTCTGGACCCATAACTAATAATACAAAAAATAGTAAATTTATGTAACAGCTGAGGAAGGTTACATGTTTGGAAACACTCTGCATGTTATAAGCACTAAATCATTTCACACCTTCCCCCCAAAAGCCTGTGAGGTAGGCACAACACTACCATGAATAAAACTGTACAGAATAAAGATACCTTATACCCATTCACAAATAAAACATTTAGAAGACTGCATTCCAACCAGATAATTTTTACCCAATAAGCTATTCAGTCATTAGTCACACATTTGTGGCTAGTCTACAAATTGAGCTAAGTATAATTATTTTGTAATATTCTCCAGTTAAACACCATGAGAATGAACAAGGGCCCAGCTGCCGTCACTTTCTGGCTGTACACCAGCAAACACATCCCTTTACCTCTCAGAGCCTCGACAGCAGCAGCTGCAGCTGGAGTGAAGCATAGTTTAATATTCACCTAACCTTTGTCCCCAGATTTCTTTTGAACAAGGGTTTGCCAGAAAAAGAAAAGAAAGAAAAAAAATAAGTGACACATTTTACTTTATTAACAGTTACATGGCAGTTCTCTTATGATTGATGATATATATATATATATATATATATATATATATATATATATTTGAAACCCTAAATTAGAGACACTGTATACAGAAAAATAAAAAGCAAATCAGCCAAACTGATATTTTCTAGGATTATACAGATGGAGCTGAATGAATGGTGTTATAAACAGAACACATACCCAAATGTTCAAAAATTATATAATCAATTATTGTGTTCATTTGATTTAAATTCTCCCTAAGAATATATTTTGATCACACTCTTTCCCAGCCACATCTCCTCCCAGATTCCCACATTCTACCAACTCAACTCTACTAAAAAAACAAAAAACAAAAACAACAACAAAAAACATTAAAAGTCAAAAACTAACAAGCCAAAAAGAAACAAAAGCATATAAAATTTTTTTCAATGAAATCTCTACCAGTGGAAAAAACAAAAACAAAATGCTATGAGCTATGAAAATGACTAAAACATGAACAATTATATTATTCCTGCATCTAGCATAATTTCTTTAACTGCTTCCCCTTTAGAAATTAATTTCTTAAATGTTTTAAAATGTAGTATGCTTGCGAGAACAAGTGGTGATTGATTACAGTTAATGAACTAATGTTGAACATTCCAATGGATGCCTGAACACACATACACATTGTCTTGAGTCAGTGTGAGAGCTCTGTAATAATGTACTGTGGAGTTGGTTCATAGATGGAAAAGTGCAGAGTGGAGGGTCTGGATGCTCACTGAGTACAGAGTTTATCAAACTGTGACAAAATCATCAAGAGTGTTTAAATGTGACCATGTGAAATCACATGACGGTGTGTGTTGAGAACAGTAGGAAACACAGCACAGGGAGGTCAGTTAGTAAAAGCAGCTACAGTGGGAGATCTGAGCAGTGCAAGACTGCTAAAGACGGAGGGTCTAACAGTGGGGTGATCCAAGAGCAGAAGAGTAAAAGTTCCAGGACCCAGTCTGGAGAAAGACAGGGGAATTCGATAAAATGAAAGATAGTCTGGATGGCACACATGATCAAGGAGGAGGAATTGGCGGGATGGGGTCGCACTGTCGTTCATGACTAACTGAACATCTAGAGGACACAGAGGGACTGAAGGCTTTTAAGCAGTTCAGGGACATGCTGACAAAATTATATGAAAGATATTTACATTTGTTACAGATAGTAGGGAACTATTAAATTTTACTAATTGTAAAATTTAAAGCTATTTAGATATGTCTGGTTTAAAAGCAGAGGAATACATTAATTAGATAAGATAGCATGGTGGACTGACTTTTTTAAAGATTAAATTAAAATTGGAATGATCTGTTTCAAGAAAAAAATTAGAATTAATTAACATTAGAGAAGAGCTCTAGGCTCTATATAAAATAATTTCAAAGGTACATTTGCTATCTATCCCACATGTGGTCAATTCATCAACCCTATACAAAGATAGATGTTGGGAGAAATTACAGTTGTTTAGTTTGTTACCCTTGAGAGTTTCATGAAAAGAGTTTCCCATCAGAAAACAAAACAAAACAAACAAACAAAAAAAGCAGAAAACGTTTGTCTGTCTTAGGTTGAAGACAATGTGACTGTGTTTTTGGAAATATTATGACTAGTAATGAGGGTAGATTAAGAAATGCCTGAGATCTACAGAAATTGCTCTACTCTGAGAAACACTAAGAACCAGGAAGTAGTTCACATTAGGAACTTTCTGAAGCCTATTTTCAAACTTACAGCTTGCAAAAAAGAGAGGCTACCAAAAACCTGAGATTCATATAGCAACTCTCAGAAAGAAAGAATGAAAGAAATCAAACTCTCAAGCAAGAGTCAGAAATCAGGCTCTTCCATTTTGAAGCTTTGTCTGTGATTGTCCAGCCAAAAAGCCTGACTCTCCTAAGATCCAAACATTCAAGTGTTTTCTATAGAGCAGATGAATAGAAACATAGTAGCTAACTTCCTTATCTTATTAGTCAACATTCTTTAGGTAAGGATGTTTAGTAGTTTGCTGCTTGCAAAACTAAGTATTGAGCTCTTCACATTGCCTCTGAGCCATGACTTTCACACGTGTGACACAAGTATCTGGTGGGCCCCATCTTCAGAGAAAATCCCAATCCTTTGCTTATTAGATTGTTATTTGACAACTACAACTTTACTATGTTTAATATTAAAATTCTACAATAGCATCAGAATCCAAACATTTAAAACAACAATTTTAGGATTTAAAAATATTTCAAGCATTCTGATTGACAAAAACTATGAATCAAATTAAAAGTTTATATATTTTTGTAAATCTGAAAAACTAAATCCAAGTATTCTTCATCATTTATGTTAGGTAACATTTTAAGCACAGGTTTACTTTCTGTATAAATCACACTCACCCATGAAATTCAGATATCCTTCTCCACCCAGCCCGTGAGTAATGAGCCGAATCATCTTGTGGAGCTGTATTCCTCGATCAATAACTGGAGTGAAAGGAGCCAGAACACTCATGTTCGTGTACATCTCAGCATCCATCAACCAAAATGCCAGTGTCTTATCGCCAACCAGGGCCTAGAGAAACAATTCACGGACGTAAACCAAGAGCATGGGTACTAAGCATAAGCAGTTATAGCTTACAGCAGAATAGCACAAGGCTATACAGGGGACCAAATAATATAGAACCGGCGTTTGGACCATTATTAATTTTTCAGTGGTTGCTTTTTTTGCTGAAAGGCAGATGGCAAAAGGGATCAATGCAGTTTTTTAAAACAATGTTTAATTTTAAGAAAACATGGATAAGAAGATCATAATGAGAAACGTACATTATTTGTTACGTCTAAGATGGCGCTTAAATTTTCTAATATTTTTCTGAATCAATTCCTGATGGGGGTTGTCATTCTGCATATATGTTTCTCTTATTGGTTAATGAATAAAACACTGTTTGGCTAGTGGCCAGGCAGGAAAGATAGGCGGGGCTACCAGATGAGGAGAGTTCTGGGAAGAATAAACAAGTGTCACCATGTAGACTGCCAGAGGAGAAACAGGTCCGGGGACCCTTCTCCGATAAGATAAGACCACACAGAAATACTTAGATCAATAGAATGGGCCAATAATTAAAATAGAGATAGCCAATAAGAAGCACCAGTCATCAGCCAACAGTTTCACAATTAATACAGTGTTTGTGTGTTTATTTTGGAGCTCAAGGGTGGTGCAACCTGCTGGGCCAAGAATCTCTCATAACAAATTCCTATAGTCGTAAGAATATTATATGGCTGAAATGATTTATATACCATGATTTTATTTGCTTTGAAACAATGGGAAAAATTTAAAATACACATATGCACGTATATGAAATGGTACAGTAGAGAAAGGAATTACAATGATCCTTTGTTTCCATTACTAGATAAAAATTCAAGCTTGGAATCTCACTTTGTTTGCCATTTAAATTCAGTTCATTTTATCTGCAAGTTAACAACTGGGGATTAGAACAGGTGACTCATTAATGGTCTAGGCAGCAGGAAAGAGGGCCTGACAACATGCACTACTGAAGAATAAAACAGTTAAGGACAGTACTCATTGACAGAATAGATAGTGAAATGAGTAGTACAGGACAACCCACAGTCTCTCTCAGTAGTCTCAGGGTTTCACTTGGGGTTATTTAAAATTATGAACCCTAGAATGTCTTCTTTGAAGTATGAATGCACGATCTATAGCACATATTCCTAAACAATTTGCCTTTTCTACTCACATGCTTATGTATACCTGCTTGCTTTTGTAATCTCTGATTCAGCTTTCAAAGGGTTTTGGTGACTTTAGTTTATGTTTACAGGAGAAGATTATTTTTCAAGTCAAGTAACCCTTTAAAATACATCCCCCTGGGATAAAGATAATCTTAGATACTTAATGGTTAAGGTTTCTAAAAATTATATAGTAACTTTTACTATGTACTCTATATGTATTTAGACTTATTCATTGTATCCATAGGTGTTTGCTTCATCACAAGTACCTAAATATGCCACATGGTGCAAAACCAATAAAAAAAGAAACCATGAAATTGAGCAAGCACAGTTGTGTTCAAATTTACTGTAGTCACAGGCAAAAGAAAAAGAATGTAAGACAGGGCTCTTTTCAAATGGCCTGTACATTTGAACATTCCTAACAAGAAACTAAAAAGACATTATTTGTATAACATGTCTATTAATAGTATAACAACATGCATTTATTCTCTTAATATAGACATTCCTAAGAATTTCAAAATATTTACTTCCTCTATTTTTACCCATAAAACATTTCAATATTTTTGATGCCTATAAGAATAAAAATGAGGCAGGCACAGTGATGCATGCCTTTAATTCCAGAGTTTGGGAGGCAGAGGCAGGCAGACCTTTGTAAGTTTCAGGACAGCTTAGTCTACACACCAAGTTCTAAGACATCTAGTTCTACATAGAGAAATCAAGTTTTAAATTGCTAAATGGTGTATCCTATCCCAACATGCTGTATTTACTGAGTGCTGTAGGCACAGTCACAGTACTTAAGTGTAGGGGTGAAAATGAATGGGAACAGTTTCTGCCTGCCCTAGTGCTTGATGGGAATACAGACCACCAGGCAGCTAAGTTTTCCTTCCTGAATTACGGCTTCACAGAGAATGTGGTACCTGAGCCAGGTTGAATGCTAGCCTCTCTGGTGAAGTACGTGAAGGGTAGTGTAAGCCTGAAAGAAGACCATTCAGAAACAGGCAGAGTTTTACTGTACTGAATAGAAGGCATAGAGTTGGGGAAAGGGATAAAAATGGTCTTGCATGAGTGACTTTGAGTGGCAAGCAACAGCCAATAGAAATGGCTTGACAAGTTGATGCCTGCTCTTTGGTAAATAACTCAGGCTGCTGCAGAGGGGACAGACTAAAGTGGGACAAGTGCAGCCTGGGTGATGAATTACAGCAGGAGACTTCTGGAATTGAGGGAGAAAGTATGAAAGGGGAAAACTGTATGTGGAGACCTATTGTCGCACTACCAATACACTAGATTAAAACCGCTATTCTTATGACAAAAGGAACCATTAACACTTGCAACTTCAATGGGAAGCGCTGTACTGCAACTCAGAAGTATAATTTATAGACCTACAAAGTCACTTTAAATGCCTTTCAAGTGTGGATTCATGTATGTACACACATAAATATATTACAATAGCTGTACTTAATTATAACAGTTTGTGCTTAGAGATGTAACAGAATACAAAGATTATGAGGACGATAAATACTGACACAGAAGAAAAATGACTTTATATGTATTAATTTACCTGATCATGGCTCTCTGCATAAGCAATACATTTTTCAAGGTAGCGTCGATTTGTGAGAGTGTATACTATATTGCCCATATTCCAGTCTTCATCTTTAAATTCTTTAAGTAACTACACAGAAGAGAGAAAACCAACTTATAAGTAACACACAATTTTCTTTGTTTAAGCCTCAACCTGAAAGCATACATATTATTCTAAACTGTGTGACATGTAGATATAGTGATAATATCATTGTTTTTTTGCTTTTGTTTTTGTTTTTCGAGACAGGGTTGCTCTATATTGTTTGGGAGGCTGTCCTAGAACTCCAACTCACAGAGATCAGCCTGTCTCCCGAGTGCTGGGATTAAAGGCGTGTGCCACCAACGCCCAATGATATCATTGTTTGTGCTTTACTGAAAATAAAATTTTATCTTCAAATAACATACACATTAAAGCATTAAAGCAAAAGGCAATTGTGGTGGATATTTATGTACCCATAAGATACTAATAAGGCTATAATGCTGGGTTTCATTTACGTTTCTGCTGTTTATATTTCACTCATATCATTCTATAATGTTTAATCAGCACCTAAAAATGGAAGGGTATACCATGTGGGCTGGTGTGCAGGTGACTGGATTTTTGGATATGTTTCAAATTTTACTGTGAGATCTCTGACATGGTTTTATTTCCTGTAACAACTGGAATATCATGATTGGCAGTCAACATTGATTCACTTTCCTTTAATTCTGCACTGGGTCTTCTAGTAACTTTCATACACTAGAGACACACTTGCTACATTTTTAGACTTGAATAAAAATGCTTTAGCAGGAAGGGTGTTTTGTTCCATTCATAAACAATGATAATTAAAACAATTATTTCAGAATGGAAGTGCTAATTATAAAATAATTATTATCTTAATAGACCACACTGATTTTCCTTCCACTTCATTTTCTTTGGTCTGGCTTCTGCCGTTTTGCCCTGCTGTGATGCTGCTGACCTATGACCTCAGATGTCATCTCCTGGGTCAGTAATTGCTCTTTCTTGGTTAAATATGCTCTGTACTGCTGACCCTTATCCCTCACATGAAGTGTTCCCTCCTAGTGACTGCTCTTGCACACTTGATGTTTTATCTCTTCCCTAAACCTATGAATATCTTTGAAATTACTTTTCCCAGAGAGTCTCCTCAAAATGAGGTTGCTTGAGTTTATGTCCTAAATGCAGTTTCTCTATTAGTCAGTACACTTTTTTTCTGCTAGGACCAAGTCTCTGTTCAAAGCATTCAGGAAACTTGCTTCTAGACAAAATTACAAGATGGTGCTAGGGTTCCTGTTCTTTTTTATTCATATATTTGTGTTACCTCTTTGAGTGTCTTATAATCTCCAAGTATGATAATATATATGATGGAAGCAGTCTGCAGATGAGATAATGACTGAGAAATAGAGCAAGATTCTAAACCTGTGTCAAGTTGCCATTTCAATAGAAAACTAATGATATGTATGGTACCAGAAAAACACAGATGAAATCACAATAGTCATTGCTAGGGATCAAGGGAGTCAATGAAATGGACATCTACAAAGACAACAGAAGATCATTCTATACCTTACCCAGATCAATGTTGGTGTATTCATTATAGCATTGCACAAATTTTCAAATAAGCAACATTAAAGCACTTATTTGTTACAAATTCTACATGGATATGTAACTATAACACAAAAAAAACATAAGTATAATCCATGCTTATGTCACAAAAATAAATACACTAATGCTCCAGAAGTTTCAAGTAGGATGAGCAGAGAACAGGTTCCAAATGCATACATCCCTCCATATGATGAGTTCAGGTAAATTCACATAACACCTTTACATGACAGCTTCAGCCATTTAAATCTGATCAGGCAAAAGCAAACCAGAATCGATGAGCATTCCCTATCTCTGTAAATAGTTCTTATGGAAGCAGTTAAAATATAATGATATTCTAATCAACTAAGTATAAAAGAAGACAAAAGGAATATTTCACATGACTTTGTACAACAAAACCAAGACTATAATCTAGAATTAACATCTCATTCATATCTTTTGAGTAGATGATAGTAAAAGCTACATATATTCCAACCAGACTTGTCATTTGGTTTAATAAGTTCTATTGTTTCACTGCTATTTGGGGACAATCTATTTAGTTTAAAAGAAATGTAAACTATTTTTTTATTTTACATGTTTTGCCTGTTACATACGTCCATGTACTAAATGCAGATGCCAAAATGAGATGCTGAAAGTCTTGGGATTGGAGTTACAACCATCACAGAGTCACAGAGTGGGGATAGGGAATCGTACCGGGTCCTCTGGAAGAGCAGGCAATGCCCCAAGGAGCTGAGTTTATCCCCAAGCCCTAGTCATGTTCTTAACTATGTAGCTCATAAAAACAGAGCAAAGTCCTGTATCCAAAGAGTCAAAAATAATTTATCCATCTAGATTTATGAACAAAAGCCACAAATTGTTGATGCAAAAACATTTTTAAATAGATGCATAAAATAGGATATGGCACGTGCCTACAAAATGTTTCTGAATTCAAGATGATCATATCTTAGGCAATAGATAATAATCTTTCCATTTGTATTACACAGTGCCTACTATTGTACAGTACTATTGTACAGAAGGTACTAAAAGGTTTAATGGGCTAATTTATAGATTTATAGGGGGGAAAACACCACCAACATTCAAAGAGATTATGTCCTACTGTGAGCTACTTGTGATTGACTGGGAAATAATTCCAGGCTGATCTATACTTTTGAAACATTTTTGAACATACAAAAAGTATGGGGAAGAATTTTAGTGACAGGTTAAAAAGTACAATTTGGCACTTCATCAGAAATGAATTACACATGGAGGACTAGAAATGACAAGAAATTTAGGCTGAAAAACTTATGCCAAAGGAAGAAATGTAAAAAGACAAACATTGTATACTAACCAACCTAATGCATCTTTTAAGGAAAATAGTTGTTTGTGAACCTGCTAGTGTTTAAAGAATCATTATTAAAAGAAAAGCAGAAGTCAAGTTGGTACAGTCTCAGTATCAAGAGCTGAGCTTTACAGAAGCTGCTTGAAAGAACAGAAGAGAAAAGAACTGATAATAACAGTAACATCGTTCATAGATCCCATGAGCTTTCCAATACTAAGATAAACACTCCTGTCACTATGGTCTGTTGGAAGTAGTTAATATGTACTTAATACATCATATAGATGTCTTGTTCCTCATATTTATTCAGACCATGATTATAGGCATATTTTCTCAAAGAGTGCAAATCAAACCTGAATTTACATAGTGCTTTTGGTCCTTTAGGAAAACTCATGGAAACACACACACACACACACACACACACACACACAAACACACACAGAGACAGAGAGAGGGAAGAGGGAATAAAGAATGAAATAAAGAGAGGAATAGAGGGAACCTAAATTATTTGAATTATTAAAATTAGTAAAAGTGGACAAAGGGCAGAGTGAGCTATGGCCTCCACTTAGGTTGACTTCTGCCTTCCCACTCTGGGATCTCCTGGTCTGGGGAGAGCAGGCTGGTCAACTCACCCCCAGCTCACCAAGCAACCACAAGTCTGCTGACAGTACTGTACTAACCCAGCTCCTTCCCACCAGGAGAGGGAGTGCCTCAGACTTGCTTTCACCCACCATGAGACCCATCAGAGTATTGGACCTGCTTGCACCCACCAGAAGAGAACCTCGGACTTTTATCCACTAGAGAGGAAGAGACCCCACCTGTACCCACTGGAAGAAGGGATGGGAAAACGAAAATATAAGAACACATTCAACAACAGAAAAACGAATATGACACCACCAGAGTCTAGGGAGTATACACCAGCAACCTGAACATCCTAACACAGTTGAAGCAGAAGATAATGACCTTAAAAACAACTTCATGAAGATGATAGACACCCTAAAAGAAAAAAATGAGAAAATCCTTTAAAGAAATGGAAGATAATACAAATCAAAAATTACAAGAAGCAATTCAAACAGTGCAACAATTGAAAGCTGAAAATGAAAAAAAGCAACAACAACAAAAAAGAGTCAGAAGGAATGCTGGAATTAGAAAAGGTGGATGAATGATCAGGAACTACAGATGCAAACATAACCAACAGAATATAAGAGATGGAAGAGGGAATCTCAGGTGCTGACAATATATTAGGAGAAATAGATTCATCTACCAAAGAAAATCTTAAGTACAACAATTAACAAACACAAAATATCCAGGAAATATGGGACAGTGCGAAAAAGCCAAACCTAAGAATAATAAGTATAGAAGGTAAAGAAACCCAACTCAAAGGTGCAGAAAACATATTCAACAAAATCATAGAAGAAAACTTTCCCAACCTAAAGAAAGAATGTCAATGAAACTACAAGAAGCCTACAGAACACCAAATAGAGTGAACTGCAAAAAAAGCCCCCTTGTCTCATGATAAAATACCAAACATATATAATAAAGAAAACATTAAGAGCAACAAAGGAAAAAGTCCAAGTAACATATAAAGGAAAACCTATGAGAATCACACCTGACTTCTCCATGGAAACTGTGAAAGCCAGAAGACCCTGGATAGATATTCTACCAACACTAAGAGACCACGGATGCCAGCCCAGAATACTATAACCAGTGAAGCTTTCAATCAATATAGATGGAGAAGACAAGATATTCCATGACAAAACAAGACTTAAACAATATATAATCACTAATCCAAACCTACAGAAAGTTCTAGAAGGAAAATTCCAATCTAAGAAAGTTAACTACACTCACAAAAACATAGGAAATATATAATTCCACTTTACCAAAAGCCAAAAGAAAAAGCAAGTAAAATACAAAAATAAATACCACCATCAACAACAAATCAAAAAGAACAATTAGCACTCAATGGTCCTTAATTTCCCTCAATGTTAATGGTCTTAATTTGCCTATAAAAAGACACAGGCTATCAGATTGGATATGAAGGCAGAATCCATCCTTCTGCTGCATCCAAAAAACATACTTCAACTTCAAAGACAGACATTACCTCACAGTACAGGGATGGAATAAGATTTTCCAATGAAATGGAACCAAGAAACAAGCTCTATCTAACAAATTAGACTTCAAACTAAAATCAATGAAAAGAGATGAAGAGTGTCATTTCATATTCATCACAGGAAAAATCCACCAGGAAGAAGTCTCAATTCTGAATATCTATGCCTCAAATACAAAGGTACCCACATTCATAAAACAAACATTACTAAAACTCAAATCACATATAAGACATCACAGTTATAGTGGGAGACTTTGAAACCCCACTCACCACTGGACAGGACCAACAGACATAAACTTAACTAAAAAACAAAGGAACTAACAGAAGTTATGACACAAATGAGTCTAACAGATATCTATAGAACATTCCATCCAAACACAAAGGAATACACCATCTTCTCATTGCCATATGGACCTTCTCTAAAACCAACCACATACTTGGTAAAAATAGCAACCTCAACAAGAACAAAAAAAATTGGAATAACTCCATGCATTTTATCAGACCACCATGAGTTAAAATTAGAATTCAACAACAACACAAATTGCAGAATCTTTACAAACACATGAAAATTGAATAATGCACACTTGTACCATTCCTGGGCCAAGGAAGAAATAAACAAAGAAAGTAAAGACTTCCTAGATCTCAATGAGAATGAAGACACAACATACGCAAACTTATGGGACACTTTGAAAGCAGTTCTAAGAGGAAAGTTCATAGCACTAAGTGCCCACATGAAGAAATTGGAGAATAGTCACACTAGAGAATTAATAGCACAACTGAAAGCTCTAGAACATTGATGCAAAAATTCTCAATAAAATACTAGCAAATGGAATCCAAGAACATAAGAGAAAAATCATCCAACATGATCAGGTAGACTTCATCCCAGGGATGCAGGGATAGTTCAACATTCAAAAATCTATCAGTGTATTCCACCATGCAAACAAACTGCAAAAGAAAAACTACATGATTCTCTCTCTAGATGTTGTAAAAGCCTTTGACAAAATCCAACAACACTTCATGATAAAGGTGCTGGAGAGATCAGGGACAACAGGAACATACCTGTACATAATATAAGCAATATACAGCCAACATCAAACTAAATGGAGAGAAACTCAACACAACTCCTCTAAAATCAGGAACAAGACAAGGGTGTCAATTTTCTCCATACCTCTTCAATATTGTACTTAAAGTTGTAACTAGAGCAATAAGACAACAAAAGGAGATCAAGGGGATACAAATTGGAAAGGAAGAAGTCAAACTTTCACTATTTGCAGATGATATGATAGTTTACATAAGTGACCAGAAAAACTCTACATGGGAAATACCACAGCAGATAAACACTTTCAGAAAAGTGGCAGGATATTAGATTAACTCAAAAAAGTCAGTAGCCCAACTATATACAGATGATAAATAGACTGAGAAAGAAATTAGAGAAACATCACACTTTACAATAGCCACAAACAACATAAAATATCTTGGGGTAACACTAACAGAACAAGTGAAAGACCTGTATAGCAAGAATTTTGAACTAAAGAAGATACCAGAAAATGGAAAGATCTCCCATGCTCTTGGATAGGCAGGTTCAACATAGTAAAAATGGCAGTCCTGCCGAAAGAAATCTACAGATTTAATGCAATCCCCATCAAACTACAGGCACAATTCTTCACAGAACTCGACAGAGTAATAATCAACTTTATATGGAAAAATGAAAGATGCAGGATAGCCAAAATAACCCTGTACAATAAAGGAACATATGGAGGCATCACCGTCCCTGACTTGAAGAACTATTATCAAGCTATAGTCATGAAAACAACTTGGTATTGACACAAAAATAGACAGGTAGAACAATGGAATCAAATTGAAAACCCTGATATTAACCTAGAAATCTGTGAATACTTGATTTTTGACAAAGAAGCTAAAATAATACAATGGAAAAAAGAAAGCATCTTCAACAAATGGTGCTGGCATACCTGGATGCTGACATGTAGAAGACAGCAAATAGATCCATATTTATCGCCATACACAAAAGTTAAGTCCAAATGAATCAAAGACCTCAACATAAATCCAGCCACACTGAAAATCTTAGAAGAGAAAATGGGAGACACCCTTGAACGAATTGGTACAGGAGACTGATTCCTGAATATAATACCAGTATCACAGACACTGAGATTAATAATTAATAAATGGGACCTCCTGAAACTGAAAAGCTTCTGTAAGGCAAAAGACACAGTCAACAAGACAAAAAGGCCATCCACATAATGGGAAAAGATATTCAATAAGCCCACATCTGATCTCTAAAATTTACAAAGAACTCAAGAAGCAAGTCTCCAAATCACCAAAGAATCCAATTTAAAGGTGGGGTACAGAACTAAATAGAGAATTCTCAATAGAGGAGGCTAAAATGGCCAAGAGACACTTAAGAAAGTACTCAACATCCTTAGCTATCAGGGAAATGCAAATTAAAATAACTCTCAGATACTATCTTAAACTGGCCATATTGTCTAAAATCAAAAACATCGAGGACGGTTTATGCTGGAGAGGATGTAGAGAAAGGGGAACACTTCTAGGCTGCTTGTGGAAATGCCAACTTGTGCAGCCAATTTGGAGATTGGTATGGAGAATCCTCTGGAAAATGGGAATCAGTCTCCCACAAGATCCAGCAATTCCACTCTTAGGCATATACCCAAAAGATGCACATTCATACAACAAAGACATCTGTTCCACTATGTTCATAGCAGCATTATTTGTAATACCCAGAATCTGGAAGCAACCTAGATGCCCCTCAACTTAAGAGTGGATTGAGAAAATGTGGTACATTTACACAATGGAATACTACTCAGTGAAAAAGAACAATGGATTCTTGATATTTGCATGCAAATAGATGGCACTAGAAGAAACAATCCTGAATAAAGTAACCCAGCCACAAAAAGAGAAACAATGTATATGTACTCACTCCTGTATGGATTTTATACATGGAACAGGCAATTGTCAGCTTACAATCACACCACCAGAGAGTGTGGGAAACAGGGAGGACCCTAACAGAGATATGCATGGTACCCAGAGAAGGGGAACAGAACAGGATCTCTTGAGAGGATTTGGAGCATAGGGGAGGGGAGAGGGAGCTGGGAAAAAGAGATGGGGAAAATAGGGGAGGAGAGGAGACATGGGGGAGCAGCAAGTTTGACTCAGGGGAAGAATAGAGGAGAGCAAGATGAGAGATACCATAATAGAGGCAGTCATTTTGAGTACCGGGCGTGATTTGGCACTCGTGAGATTTTACAGAGATCTACAAGGATGACATCAACTGGCTAACTAAGCAATAGTGGAGAGGCTACCTTAAATGCCCTTCCCTGATAATGAGATTGATGACTACCTTATATGCCATCCTAGAGCTTTCATCTAGTAGTTGATGGAAACAGAGACAGACACCCACAGCTAAACACTAAACTGAACTCCTGGAACCCAGCTGCAGAGAAGGAGGAGTGATGAGCAAAGGATCAAGACCTGGTGGGTGAAACCTACAGAAACAGCTGACCTGAACAAGGGGGAGCTCATGGACCCCAGACTTTTTGTTGTAAGGCCAGGATGTGACTGATCCAGACCCCCTAAATTTGAGTGTCAGTGAGGAGGCCTCAGCAATCTATGGGGCCTCGGGTAGTAGACCAATATTTATCCCTGGCATATGAATGGACTTAGGGAGCCCATTCCAGATAGAGTGATGTTCTCTTAGCCTGAACACATGGAGAAAGGCGTAGGCCCTGCCCAGAACGATATGACAGACTTTGGAGATCCTGCATAGAGGGCCTCACCCTCCCTGGGGAGAGGTGTAGGGATTGGGTGGGGGGGGTGCAGGGGTTGGTGGGGATGGCGGGGGAAGGGAGAGGGAGCTGGGATTGAAATGTGAAGCAAGCTTATTTCTAGTTTAAGTAATGAAACCAAAATTTAAAAAAATACTAAAAGTACATTGAGGAAAAATATGTAGCAACCATCTACCATTATTCTATGCTAATGTTTGAGATTGGGTAAGCATTTGTTGAATAAGATTTGCTGAGTGAAATCACACACTGAAGGAAGCACAATAAATTAAGGAATCTCTATATCACTAGATGCTTATAGATAGCAATACATGTTTTGAAAAGTTTGATATATTTTAAGTATAGACCATTACAGTTCCCCAGATCTACATTTGTAATGCAGAATCCTACTCCACATTTTATTAATATTAATTTCTCTTGCCTGAATAATAGAAATTTGAAAACTTTACTATATTCCCTTAAAATTTTGAGAACCAGCTTATTAAAGAAAGCACATTTATAGGAGAATTGATATTTCACCTATATCTGTAATTGATGATCATGATTAATTAAAAAATTTAGCAATTTCATATGTGATACACAGGGGAATGAAAATAACATTGGAATCTTACTTGGATCCATTTATCTGGAATTGCCATTGCTAGTCTATAATCAAAACCACCTCCTCCCTGGGAAGTAGGAGAACAGAGAGCTGGCATTCCTGATACATCCTGAAACAAAGTATAATACAATTATCAGTTCATATTATTTAAATTCATTTCCTGACAGCAAAGTCTAGACTGAAGCATGAAGCTAAGGGGAACAAGGAACATATTTCTGAGTATTTTAATAACATAATTATAAAAGCAAACACAATTGTTAATTCATATCTTAGTTCCCAATAAGACATTTTTCTAATGTTTTCACACTAGCACAACTTTCATCACAAAAGGCTTTTCCCCTTTCATTAGTATCACCTTGAGAAAAGAAAAACAGCAAAAGTATTTTCAAAATGTGTTTAACCTTAGAAATGTTTTTCAAAAACAATTTACTTAGCACATTTACCAAAACCAAAAATTTTTATAGCTTATCTTTGCAATACTTCTTTCTATAGCCCTGTGAGCACTAGCTCCTGAAGAAATGGACAACACAGTGAATACATTGATAGTAAAGAAAGAGGGTGGTTTCACTAAATTTAGTAGAATATACTGAAAGGGTCACTGAGATCAGCCACCGGGTGTTTTCATTAGCAGATACAGAAACAAAGGCTCACTCAGGTGAAGGAATCTTGAGAGACAGAGGGTTACTAATGGGAGAGTCATGGTTCAGACATAAGACATCTCTTGACAGGGTGTTGCCCCTACCATGAAACCCTGAGAATACTGAGAAGTAAATATTAATCAAACAGACTGCTGAGCTGAAAAATTGGGCAAAAGAATACAGATGTAGCAGAAGATATTTCTGTAATAACAACATCGGCATACAAACTAAATACTACCATTCTAACTCGGCACTAGACTTCAAAGGAATCCTTTTCATCTGCTCAGTCCTATGGCCAGTCTCATTTACTCTTAGTTACCCATTCCTTAGACTGTATGTCTTCAAATGGAGTTTCTCCATTTCCAGTTCCTTTACAATAGCAACAGCTTATGAGATACCTTACTTGTATTTTTGTCCTGTAATAAAGTTTAATATCTAATAGCAGAAACATGAAATTCTTTAGCTAAAGATTCAATTAAGTCATCAAACATTAAGCATTTGCTATACAACTTACTACCCCATATTCTGTAAGGTACATCTTGGGAAGAAGTTGCTTTTATAAGCTAATGTGGCCAAAGGGTCTTGGGTTGGCAGCTAGCACTTGGCACAAAGAAGGCACTCAATAAATACATTCTGAGTGAAGGACTTAACGATACTGTGAGGTACACAATAAACAAGATATCTTTATTTGATTTACCTGCATGCATAAATGAGGACATAAACACATATATCTACACTTATCATGAAATGACAATACTTACCAGCCAGGATATGACTAGTGACATAGGCAGCAGAGGAAGAGACTTAGATCTTTCAACCAGTGTCCCCTAAATCCTTTAAGCTTGGTATATTCTGTCTCTTTAAAGTACATACTCTTGTGGCCAGGCAGTGTTGGCACATGTATTTAATACCAGCACTTGGAAGGCAGAGACAGATAGATTTCTGAGAGTTTGAGGTCAGTCTAGTCTACAGAACAAGTTCCAGGACAGGCTCCAAAACTATAGATAGAGCCCATCTTTAAAAAAAAAAAAAGCACATACTCTCTAGACTTATGATAAGGTTTTCAACATGTATCATTGTTCAAATTTTTGTTGGAAATTCTTACAAAAGGACATCACACTCTGTAATGGCTTAATCATTGGGGATGACATAGACCTCTGCCTGTAGAGCTAAAATGCTGTAGTTTTGATAATCTCATCTACAAATTCTCCGCACAGAAAAGGTTGGGAAAAGAAATTGTTGACTCCTCTGGACTTGAAACTAATTTATCTTTCTTTAGGTAGACCAACGTAAATAAATGCATGATATATTGGTATATAACTACTAGTAACTGAAATGCTTTATCATAGCATAGTGTTTCCTCACAGTTCTTCAAAGCTCATGATCAAAACAGAATGAATAAAGATCAACAGGGAAGACATTTTAAAAGGCATACTTAGGAAAACAGAAGGGATGCATTCACAAATATTGTAGAAATGTGGTTCAACTTGCTGTTGTAAAATGGGATGAGCATCTATTAAACATCAGTCTCCTTATTAGATGCTGGAGTTATAGACAACATAGTTTGCAAGGAATTTTATTGTGATCAGATGATATAGAATGATTGCTGGTAGCTGAGATTTAAGTCCAAGGTAACTTTGAATGAGAAAACAGTTATATAGTCTATAGTGTATGTACCCTTTTAAAAATAAAACATATGAAAAATATGGATATCAAATTTTTCACAATCCCTAAATCAGAATCACAGGAAGCTATGAGTCATTTTATGTTTTCAAAGTGAGATGCTTCTGGCCACCCTTTTAAATGTAAAAGAAAAAAGAAAGAATAAATATATTTAAACCATGATACATATATGTATAAGAATGATTGTGTGTTTTAAATTCAAATAAATCTAGTTCTTTAAAGCTTAAAGGGTACTTCTGGCTATTGACCAAAAAGATTTCTCACATAAAAACGTTTCCATTGATAAAATAACTTTGTACAACAGTGAACAGTTTCTTTAAAAAGTTTTTGTTATAATTGTCTTTAGTAATAAATCATTTCTACTATATAAATTTATATTAGATTTCATCACCCACTCATTTTAGAGATTTTTAAGTAAGTTCATAAAGATCGATTCTACATTTTGAAGAGACTCCCACTAGATAGAGAAGTCATGTATTGAAATTGAAGCACTTTTCAATTTGGATAGAATAAATTGAAAGCACACCTGGCTTTAAAAAAAAATCTAAAACCAAGTAATATAAAGTGGGCTGAAGTCTGAGAGTTTCATTGGTAGAAACACTGATAATCAGACAAGAGCTCCCAAGATGATGGAACCACTTTACTTGAAATGAGTGGAAGAATCAATGTAACAATTTTAACTTTCATGTATTAAATAATTGCTTCTTCTTTCCATTCACTTTTCATTTATACTGTCATTAATTGTTTATAGTAATTTGTCACATATAGTATCTCTGCTTTGGATTGTCAGAAATATATTTGACAATTAATTTTGATGCTTGACAGATAAATTAAAATACCATTTTTAGGAAGTGAAATAAAATTCAAAGTATTTTTCTTTTACGAGCAATTCAGAGCAAAGAATAATTATTAGCTCTAAGAACATGTAGTGAAGCAGGTACTATGAATTATTATCCTGTGTACTGTAATTTGGGATTTGTGGAATAATTCTATGTAAGAATTATTTCAGGACTATCTTTTGAAAATATTCCCAAATGATATTTAAAAGGCAAAAGCTCTGACAGAAATAAAAGTGTTTCTATCTATAGTATAACAATAGTATTACATGAACTAGCTAGGTATTATTGTTTCTGAAAAATGACAGACAGGGAAATTTTATAAAAATAGTAAATTCTAGAAGGAAATTCATTTCAATAAGTGGAATGTGAACAGGACGAGGTTATAGATAATCCTGATTCTTTTTTGGGGGGGGGTGTCTTTTTTTGTTTGTTTTTTTTTTCTTTCTTTTTTTATATCATTTTTATTTTAATTTTAAATAGCTTGTTTTACATGTCAATCCCAGTTCCCTCTCCCTCCCTTCCTCCAGCACTCCCCTCCCCCCCCAGCCTCCCACCCTATTGCCAATTCCTTCCACATAGGGGATATCTAGAGTCTGTCATTTCACTCCGGGTAGGGTCCAGGCACTCCCCTAAGAGTCCAGGCTGAGAAAGCATCCCTCTTTGTGCTATGGGCACACGATGACTGTTTGTATTTCAGGGATAGACACTGATCCACTGCTCAGGCCCCATAGGTTGCCCAGGCCTTCTCACTGACACTCACATTTGGGGGGGTCCAGATCAGTCCCATGCTGGCCTGGGGTTTCTTTGTGTAGCCTTGGCTGTGCTGGAATTCACTCTGTTGACCAGGTTGGCCTTGAACTCACAGAGAACCACCTAAATCTACCTCTTGAGTGTTGGGATTAAAGGTGCACTGCCACCACCTAGCATGCTGACTCTTCCTAAACATAAGATTAGTATCTTGTATGCTCACATCTATACTTCACATAAAAATCACCAGCATGCTAAATTCCATTTTAACAATAATTTCTACTTAGAAGACATAAAACCATGGGGGGTAGTATTAAATTGAAATTAGTATAAGCATTTAACAAACTTCTTAATTTATTACACTTATCACCAAGAAGGGAACTGCCAATTATGCATATACCAAATTCTATCATCACAGCACAGCTTTGGGACTGTTAATCGTGAACTTTTAGTAATAATGAATAACTGTAGAACATTGGGCAGCCTGGGAGCAATAACGTAAACAAGAAAGGTAACCGTATCAGAACATGAAATGTTTCAGAAAAGTGTACAGGCAGAGTCTATGTCATCCCCAATGATTAAACCAATAGATAGATGGATAGATAAACAGATAGACAGACAGATAGACAGACAGACAGACAATTAAGTAAATAAATAAATGATGAGCCAACAGACACACATCAATACTCAAATTTTTTCACCACAGAAGGTCTTAGGCAGAAGGACCTGTCCACTGACTAGGACATTTTACTTCCTAACCACTGGCATGTTCTTTCTAACAATGGAACAGTGATGAGTAATTAGTGTAAATTATCCCCTATTAGGAAGCCAGTGAATTCAAAATAATGTGCCACCCTTACAAGGTAGTTGGGCCATCGTCATGGCACAATTCCATTTTTGCAATTATTGATGACATGAGTTTATCTATTCAAGTACTGTATGCTAACAAATTTTTCTATGTTCAAGGGAGTCAGATGGTGCAATATCACATAACCTTACCTCTGCTATTGTAATGGAATCTGGATACAATGTGTGAGTCAAATGATTTGCCAACATGAGGTAAATTAGAGCATCTTCATCGACTTGTAGTCCAAAATATTCATGATAGCCGCCTGAAAAACCTTGACCTGATTAACAGGAAAACAGAAATACAGTCTATAAATAGGCAAGTCTCAAGTCTATAGAAACATAGCTCAAATTGTGAGGAATGTACAGCTGTCATTAAGTGTAATGCAGTTACCACCTGAAAATGTACTAAGTATTCCTTTACAATACTCAGAGATCAGAAAATCCTGCAACGCAATTTGTTTGAAAGAACAGAGACCACTTTAAAGATGTCATTTAATTCTAACTAAATTTTATAGCAGTGAAATGAGAAATACAATTGAAATTGAGTGCTGAACATCAAATTTCCAATGCATTTCTACCATATCAGAAAAAAAGAAAAACAACGGTCCCTGAAACAGCCAGGCATGGGCAGTGAAGGGATTCAGAGGCCCTAACCCTCACTACTGAACTGTTGGTATGGGAGGATGCAGGAAGGATTCGCTGCCTCTAAGTGTGTACCTACCACAATAGGCTCAGACAGAGTCTCAATCCTCTGCACACCATGGCTCTGAAGAAATAAACGGGTCACAAACAACCGAGTCATGACTGTGGGAAAGGGTCTGGGAGGGAGGAGGGGTGTTTGGTATCAATGGAAGGAGATAAGAGAGCCAGGAAAGGAACTTAATCAGAAGGTATTATGTACACATATCAAAGAACACATTTTCTTAATAAAAACATCTTTTAATGCCAGTGTTAGGATCTAGTAGGTCCCTTTGCCATAACCAAAGTGTAACTGCAAAAAGCACTTTGAAACTGAACTATTATTTACATTAAAATGGCTGTGATTTGTGCACTACAGATTTGCTATGATGGTGAATACATTAGCACCAAACTTCCTACTGTCTCTTCTAAGCCACTTCTTATTTTGATCATGTAAAGTATGGTTAGAATGATTGTATCATTCACAGTGTATTCTTTTGACAATTTACTCTTATTTACATAAATCAATACTTAATAATGGTTCCACATTATTTTGACACTTATTTTTTATCATGTCCATTTGCTGCCTCGTGACTTTAAAGGATAAGTTAATATGTACTTTCACACATAGACCGCAATATTAATTATATGTTAATTTCTCCACACTACTAATATCATCTTACATTCATTTACAATTTGGAATGGACACAAAGCGTGTCTCCGTATGTAATTCAGAAAAATTTTAAAACCTTTTTATTTTATTATTATCATCAGGGTATATTGACTACAAACAGGTGAGGGTTAAGGACAATTCTTCGATTCCAGCTTGGTTAACGCAGGCCATCAGGATTGCACTAGAAACACTTTTATATGCTGAGACATCGTGCTGGCCCAAGATAATCTTGACAAATAGGTGTATAGTGTATATTCATTATCCTGGACAAATTAATCACATTTATCCTATGAACTGTTAGTGAAGCAAGGATGTGAGTTATGGAAAGAGGGGGGTGGGGCTGGCATAAAAAAAAAAAACCAAAAACTAATTTTAACTTTAAAGAAATTCTATACCAGAAAAATAGTACAGATAACCACACTGATGTTAGACCCCTCAAATATATGTCTTAAAATTGTAATAATGTATCCTCCATTTTCTCCAGCTCCCTACCATTTAGTACATGATATCATCATATATTTTATAATCTATCTGTTCATTTGTTTTGCAAATTTAGGTTTTGTTTTTAACATTTTAAGTAATATATATTACTAAGTGTATATTAGATATAAATAAAATATATAATATTATATATAACATATTAAATATATTATATACATACAATGTAATATATTAACTCAAAATTATTTCCTTATAATTTCTGGGATTCTCCACTCATGAAATGTATTTCTTATACCTATAAACTTTTGTTTACATCCTCAATATCTCAACCCCCTGGGTCTTCAATGGAGGCAGATTTAAACTATGATAGAATCTATGGCTCTCACTATGTTTGTCTTTGTTTTCTCAATGACATTTTCTCTAAACTGGACAGATAAGAGATGACGCCAAGTGTGTGACAGTTGGACCTTACTCCCTATAGATAGTGACAGTATCATGATTAAGAGCAAGCAGCAGGGCTCTTCCACTTCAGTCCCTCCTCAGAAGACACTTCTCAGGATTTATTGTCTAAACGTCTCTCCTCATCTTTATTTTCTTGTTGGTAGCATGTACCCACATATTTTTACCATGTTTTTATTGAAAATAGAATTTTATACACTCTATTGTGATTATGATATCTATTCTCCCAACTCCTCTGAGAGCCTCCTCACTTTCCCACTTTCCAGACTCACACACTTTCTGTCTCACCTTAGAAAAGAAATAGGCATCTAAAGAAGAAGACTAATGTAAAACAAAAACAAATATATTAGAATAGGCGAATGCAAGCAAACAGAAGAAAAAGAGTGAAGGAAAACTTATATAGACACAGAGGCACAGATACAAATTCACACACACAGACACCCTATAAAAAAAGGTCACAAAGAAACTGTGAGCTTTTTTTAAAAAATGCCCCGGAGAAACATCGTGGAACAAAGATTCCAAGAGTTGCACTGACCACCCACCTTTAACTAGGAAATTATCTCCAATTGATAACCAATCGAGTCTCACGGGGACACAAACTACACAGGAGGGTGATCCCCATGGCCAAAATGTATGTATAGAATAAAATAAAGGCTGGGTATGTAGGACTATAACTGACATTCCATCACTCCAGAGGAATGTTGAGAAAGAAGTCCAACCAGCAAGACGTAATCTCAAATATCAGAAAATAAAAGAAAACCAAGTATTTCTGTCATGTATTTAAGGAATTAAAATTCTGAGTCTAATTTTATGCAACTTTGAAAATGATAGCTTGATCAATTCTTCAATTTAATTTAAATCAAGTAGAAGACACACATATTTTCTTCATGTGTAATGTAGAAAAGTTCTCATTTTTGCATCTGGTTTAAGTGCTGAATATATGCTTTAATATATATTAAATGTGTTGTAGTAAATGGCCCTTTAAATAAAGCCTTGTGTTAAGGATTGTTTACTCCTGAGATGTATAGAAATGGAAATGTATACTTTTGGTTTCCCTCTTATTAAATCATATCAGAAATGACTACACAAAGGGCAAAAACAACAGACAATTAAAAAAGAAAATTGCAGGCATGGCCATAGATGTTTCTATAGAAAAACCTCAAATCTGGCTACAAATTAGCAATGGAAAATAAACTCATCCTTTACATCTATAGCATATCAAGTACCTACCCATCCCATGGTGATGATATAGCATGGATGTAACTCCATCAAAACGGAACCCATCAAAGCAATATTCCTCCAGCCACCATCTTATGTTTGAGAGAAGAAATCTTAAAACTTCCCAGCTAAAATATTAGACAAAAGCAGATTTAGGTGTAATACAAACAGTGTTTTCCTTAGTTGTTACATATCATTTGATCAGAGCATGGATTAAAATTACTTCTCCATCTCAATAAGCACGCCATTCAAGAAACATAAATACCATAAAACAAGCAATACCATTTGTAGAAAGAAACTCATTCTAAAAAGAAAGTAAGTTAAATTCCTGTTAGCCACTAAATCATTCAAAATCTGAGGAAAAATAAAGGGAAAAAAGGAAGAGTTACAAAACAGCTGCCTGTGGTGTCTTGCCCAGTGTTTTACACTTATCAAACAGATTATCAACTAGAGATAATATAACTAAATATGAAAATGTCACTTATAACTGAATTTTAATCAAGATTTTTGAGGAATTATATCATAGTAATGTGAGGAGCCTATTTTCTCTATTTTGAATATTTTTAAGTATAGAATGTAGAAATAGCTCCAATGACTATCTTTTTTAAATACTTGGCTAAAACTTCAAGAAACTATTCCAAAGAAGAAATAAATAATAAAAAAAGACTTAATCAGATGGTTACAAACTTTAAATTTACTAGAGTGGTCTTTTATACAAGTAAAAATGAAAGCTTAATTAAAAATTCCCCACATATTTAATAAAATATAGCACATAGACCCCACACCCATCAAAACAGAAGGGAAAAGAACTGTATTACTCAATTAAAAACGCCCCATGAAGCAAGTCTATTTTGAACAATTGAAAAGAGGGCAACGTCAATTAGCATTTTCTTCAGATGCATAGCTATGGTTGAATTCTCTATCTTATTACAACTGTAGTTTTAAGACTTTAATACCTCATTTAGCTTAATGACAAAACTGCAATAGTGTATACAAGTCTTTAACACAGCTCAAATTTATGTATTTTTAAACCTCCTTCATATTAAAGAACAATCTAAGATAAGCAGAAATTAAGTCATCACAATCAACTCCAGAAGTACAACTCTAACCTCCATGGGAAGATGAACGCTGTTGCTAATACCTACTTGAAATAAAGTACCTTGAACTTTAAAACTTACTGATTGCTTGAAAAATATATGAAAGGAAAAACCCTGAAGCATTAGCAATGCAGCAAACATGAAAGAAAAACTGGAAGTTCAAAATGCTCACGTTAATTATGAAGGTGTATTCCCGTTGTATTTAATTGACACATTTCATGTATTTGGTGAATATGTAAATATGTGTGAGCTTGGAGTGTGTAAAACCAAGAGGATGTCAGATGCAGATAGCAAGTGTAATTCTCAACTGATGTTTCCATCTTATTGTTTGAGACCATGTTGTAGTTTGAGTGAATATGCCCTTCATATATTTGCATGCTTGTTCTCAGTTTGTGAAACTGTTTGGGAAGGACTAGGATGAGTGACCTTCTTGGAGAAGCTGTGTCATCAGGATAAGCATTGTGATTTCAAACTTCCACATCTTTCCCAGTTAGCTCTGTCTGCCACCTACTCCAGTGTGATGCTCCCCTGACTGCTGCCATGCTCCCTCCCACGAGGGGCATGGACCATAACACGCTAGAACTGTGAGTCCTCAATTAATCATTTCCTTTTGTGAGTTGCCTTGGTCATCGAGTTTTATCAGGGCAATTGAAAAGTCATTAAGACATATAGTTTGAAAACAAGTTTTTCAAAAGAACAATACTTTTTCAATAACACTCCATTTCACACATACTTTTCTTTTGTTAAAAGACTTATTTATATGTGTGTGTGCCTGAGTGTATGTGTGCATGTTGCTGCCATGCACACAAACGTGAATAAATGAATTCTACCAGAACTGGAGCCTTTATGAAATGCTAGGCTTGCTGTGTGGGATGCAAACGCTGGTCCTCATGACTGTAGAACTAGTGACCTTAGACAATAAGCCATGTTTCCAACCTACATTTTCTCTCTGAAAAGTCAACTAAATGTATTTCTTGAGTAAAAGCCACCTCAGGGTAAAAAGAATATTTGTTTCAATGATAAAAGTATAAAACCATAAACAAGACAATACAAACTGCCCTTAGGCCTTATCTGGCATTCACTAGTCTGTATTTGTGCAGAGGTATAGAATATTTTATATTTTTTTAAGGTTTAACTCATCCAGATGTAGCAAATGCCTTCCATGCTCTTCCTAGGGTTTGGCACTCCATTTTTCTTAGGCTACATGTTTCTACTTATTTACATAATTCACACAGTAGAAATATCATTCACTGAATAATTTCTAGGTAAAAATGAGTCATATGAAAAACAGCATTGTAACAACTGTGAAGCTAAAAGAAAAGAAAAACTAACCATATGATATCGTATTTCAGAGACAAACACAGGAGACAGGTGATGTCAATGTAATCACTGAGAAAAAAAATAGCATTTCTGTCATGTTTTTAACAAAGAGCAGAAGTATAAAAAAGGTCTTACTGATTCCTATTACTATAGTGGTGCACCTGATCTTTTCTTGATCTAAAAAAGCAATAAAATTGGACCCCAGACAGATAGCTGGGAGGCCAACATGGGACTGATCCAGACCACCTGAATGTGAGAGTCAGTGAGGAGGCCTGGGCAACCTATGGGGCCCTGGGCGTAGATCAGTATTTATCCTTGGCATACAAACAGACTTCATGTGACCATAACATAAAGAGGGATGTTCTCTCAGCCTGGACTCTTAGGGCTTGGACCCTGCCCTGAATAAAATAACAGACTCTAGATATACCCTATGTGGAAGGAAGTGAGGATAGGGTGGGAGGCTGGGGGGGGATGGTCGGGGGTGCAGGAAGAGGGGAGGGAGAAGGAGTTGCCATTGACATATGAAGCAAGGTATTCACTAACCCCACATCTGACAGAGGGCTAATCTCCAAAATTTACAAAGAACTAAAGAAGCAAGTCTCTAAAACACCAAAGGATCCAATTAAAAGGTGGGGTACAGAACTAAACAGAAAATTCTCAATAGAGAGTAGGTCTTGGAGGAACAGGAATGATGACTGGGGGCTAGGATAGGGGGAAGAGGGAATCATAGGTTAGAAGACAGATCAGGCACCATTGTGACCTCTAGTGATCTAAATGGATGACACCAATTGGCAAGCTAAGCAATAGTGTAGAGACCACCTCGAATGCCCATTCCTGATGGTGAACTTGATGTCTAGAACCATCCTGGAGCCTTCATCCAGTGACTGATGGAAACAGAGGCAAACATCCACAGTTAAACACTGAACCCAGCGACAGAGAGAGAGGAGCAATGAGCAAATTAGCAAAGAACGGGCTGGCAAAACCAGCAGAGACAGCTGATCCGAACAGGGGAGAACTCTTGGACTCCAGACTGTCAGCTGGGAGGCCAGCATGGGACCTATCCAGACCCCCTGAATGTGAGAGTCAGTGAGGAGGCCTGGGCTACCTATGGGGTCCTGAGCAGTAGATCAGTGTTTATCCATTGAATACTAACAGACATCATGTGTCCATAACACAAAGAGGGATGCTCTCTCAGCCTGGACTCTTAGGGAAGTACCTGGACCCTACCCTGAGTGAAATGATAGACTCTAGATAACCCCTATGCGGGAGGAGGGAAAGGCAAGGGAACTGGGATTGACATGTAAAACAAACTATTTAAAATAATAAAAAAAAAGAACAGCAAGTGAAAGGCAAAGGTTCAACAATTAAGTCTCCAGAGGGTACTAGATAGCTCAGTTGATAAAGCCCTTTTGCTATGCAAACAGGAAGAGTTGGGTTCAATACCAGAACTAATGTTAAAAAGACAATCGCTATGGCACATGATTGGAAACATTCCTAGAAATAGTAAAAGCCGACGTAATTTACAGGTACTAGCCCTGAGCTAGACTTGCAGCAGTTTATTTTATATAGTCAACCACCCTAATTATCAATTATGTAATTTTGGTCTATACAAGATCAGAAACTATCCTTGACTAGGAATTATAAAATAATTAGTGTTACTATTCTGGGGTAAAAAAGCAAACATAATTTTAATGTCCTTTTATTTTAAATTACGCAGGCTTTGAGATGACTCAAAGAGAGTTTAAAAATCTAAATGAAGTATGATGTCCTGAAATAAACTCTCCTGTTTGATGTGGACAGTAAAAACAATATCATACATGAATGGACTAATTTGTGGCATCTAACATCTGCTGTTTTTAGTATACCACTAGAACTAGCTAACATGAGTATGTCATGTGTCAAAATAAAGATTTCTGAAGGATGGCTAATGCTATGTGTTAGAAATTTTTAATTTAGTACTAAGGAATTGTACTTTTCCCATCTTTCTGGAGTAGAGAGGAAGGAGTCATGGTGTATTCCAACCTCTGACCTAATGGGAAATACTGCATAGTGTGCTCTCTAGCTACATAACTCAGTCCTCTCAACTGAATGCTTACCTTGAGTCAAAGAATAAAAAAAGGCTGGCAAATGGTATGATAAAAAATTCAATTGACTGTTTCTACCTCAAAATGTCATGAGACAGCTCATAACTCAGTTGATATACCCAGCTGACTAGAAGCCCATAAAATATAAAGCAGAATTTATCGGGGCAGTATTGTTTTGGAGTGTGACAACATATAAGGTCAGCCATTCACTGTCAGATTATTCTCTTGCTATAAGGCATTCAACCCACCCCTAATAATCCCTGGCTGAAAGCTAATGTCTGATCCATTGAGAAAGCTAGGTGGTAACAGTTAGACTGTGATGCCAAAGTTAACCCAATGGCCACCATGAAAACTCTAGAGAAGTATCTAAATAGAGCGAACTACTTGTGCATGTATTAGGATCAAATAATATCCTCACTTATTTGAGTAACAAACCCCAATTTCACTTAAATGAAACAAACATGGTTCTAACATTTGTTTTAAATATTTATGTTAAAAATCTTGAAAAATATACAGAAACATGGCTGATATTCTTGTTAACTATCAGTCATGAAAATGTTTAAATCACAGGTGTCTTGTATTTAAACTGAACACACAGATGATGATATACATATATATATATATATA